ATTGAGGTGATTAAATGATGCTCGGGCTTTCATGTGTTCGCCTTCAATGACTTATAATAAAGGTTACCTTGATCCAGCTGATAATCAATACAAACCTGTATTAGTCAGTTCTTATGACCCGGCTGAATTGGTGTTAATTGTAGACCCATCAGTTCAAAATATGATGGAAGAAGAAATTTTTAGTAATCGCTTCCATTATGATTTAAATCAGTTGGAAAAGAAATTTGGTCTGGTTATTCAGGTGCCGTTGACTTACGATGCCAAGGATGAAGATGACAAGTTGGCTTATCAGTTTATGATTTTAGACCGTAACTCCTTTGCTATCCGATATGTAATTAGAAAAGGTATTGAAAGTAATTATAACATAGAGAATATGCAAACTTCTTTCTTCTTACACAGTTGGATTATTGCTGGTGCTATTCCTTTCCATAATCAAGTGGCTTGGAAGTTAGCTAATACTAATAAATAATTTTTAAATTAATATGGTAGATATATTAAAAAGAGATTGAGTAGCCGAAAGGTGAGCCTTTAATCGAGATAATTATTCAGATGGATTTAGTTCTAATTTTAATGGGGGTGGCAATTTTTCTTCGCAATTAAGTGTGGCGGAGGTTTTGTTGGTTTTAAAAGAGATTCAGTCCAAGTTAGCCGAGCAGATACAGAAAGGGGATGATGATGGTTGACCGGTTGATGATGATGGGGTAGAGTTAGAAGAAAATTCTACTAAGGAGTATAAAAAGGATTTGGACTCGGTTATTGCTAATTTGGAGGCTAAAAAGGTTAAAAATAAAGAGTGGATTGATATAAATGGGGATTTTTCTGATGAGAAGTTAGTTAAGGAATGAAAAAAACTGGTTGCTGATCATAAAGGAGCCGAAAAATGAATTACAGTCGGAATTTATCCCATAGAATATAAAAAACTTGATTGGCTGCTAAACACTAAAAGTTTAACCGATCCAAAAGATTATACCGCCGACAAGAAAGATTTAGACGATAAATGACGTATTTATGAATATCAAACTTTCAAAAAACCTAAGGATTTAACTAATTATCTAGAAGAGATAAAAAAAGATTGTGAAAGTTATATAGAAAGTCAAGTTTCCAATTGGAATGTTACTGATGGGGGTTATAACCCTTACTGACAAAGAGTAGAAGTTGACCTAAAAGCCTTCAACAAACAAAAGGATATGGAAGATGGCCTAAATGCCATTTTGACCAAATTAAAACCAAGTACTTTTGCCGATAGTCAGGTAAAAACTCGCTATAAATCTATTGAAGAAAGCATTCGCAAATTTGTTCCCACTCCTACTGGAGGAAATAAAGATTGAAAAGATATTCACACAGGATTTGATGGTCGTCAGGATTTAATAAACTTGTGAACTAATCGGGACTTCACTTATGATGAAGCCAACGACTATATTAAAGTCTTGAAAAATGATTCCAATATTTCTGATAAGAACATTCCCCGTCAAGCCGAATATATTCACTGATGAAAAACGGTCAAAAACAAAGCAGTTAAAGATTTAGAAACTGCCACCCTAGATGACCGCAAAGAATATTTAACTTGGTCTATTAGTGAAAGATTGAAATTTTTTACTGATGACAAATGAAAAGCCGAAGAAAAATATAACGAAAAAGGAGTAAAAGTCGGGCATTGAAATAACCATGACCGAGGTGATGGAACTTGAAAAGGTTATTTGGATAAAATTAGCGAAAATGCGGATGAAAAAAATAAAGGATTTGGTTATGAGGAAGTAAGTAGTGGATTATTGTCTGCTCTTTGCGAAACTCTTTTCCCTCACATGTTCTGATTAGGCAATTTAGGAAAAAAAAGATGATAAACCAAAAATAAGACGAAAAGATATAGAAAAATATATGGCTGATAATTTGGCGGCGATTGAAG